GTTCACCATCTTAGCTGTAGAACGCGCAGCGTCACTGGCCCATGTGGGATCCGAACCGGCAACCCTGCTGCTCATCGAGCTCCCACGCTAACTCTTAACCAACGAGCCACTCGGCCAGCCCCAAGCAGTATGTTTTAAAACAAGCTCAGAATCTCACATTCTTTGCCAAGGAAACAAACTCTTGAAAGTTAGAGCAAATTTAGATTAATCTAAGTAGTATACGTAAACATGTGTCCAGAATCACACTCTCCTCCAAAATAACTTCTTATTATGAGTTGGAGTAAATTTAGCTGAAACTCAGCAGTATTTGTGAGGACAAGTTCAGTGAAAACAACATCAAAATAACATATTATTCTTAAAAATAACTTCTTATGGCTAGCTAGAAGAAATCTTATTATTATAAACAGTATATGTAAAAACAAGGTCAGAATAACACATATTCCTGCAAACTCAGTGTTAGGGTTAGGTTTAGGGATAATATTAGTGTCAAGGTTATGGTTACATTTATGATCATGGTAATAAGGGTTAGGGTCAGGAAACAATTTCATGATTAGGATCACGTTCAGGTTTGTGGTCAGAGTTAGAGTGAATGTCAATTTCAGAATCAGTGTCAGGATAAGTTGAGTTTATTGTCAGGGTCAAGATTAGGGTTATGTTTAGTATTAGCATCAGGGTCAGGATTAGGGTTAGATGTAGGGTTAGATCAATTTTTAGGTGATGGTCAGCATTCAGGTTAGGTTTAGGTCAGGGTGAGTTTCATGGTTAGAGACAGGTTTAGGGTAAAGATCAAGTTTAGGGTTAAGTTAGAGGTTAGGGTCAGAGTCAGGGACATGACCAGGTAATGTTTAGGATCTAATTTATAGTTAGCTTTAGTATTAGGGTTTCTAGTCAGGTTTAGAAGCAGGTTTAGGGTTATAATTAATGTGAGGGTTAGGTTCATGATCAGAATCATTGTTAGTGTTAAGTTTAGGTTGAGTTCAATGGTCAATTGTTTGATTTCAGGGTCAGCGTTAGGTATGGGTTAGAAACTGGGCCAGGAAGTTCCTTACTTGAGGTTGGTTAGCTAGCTGGCTACAATTGGGATTGGAGGAGCACATCTTGAGGATTGGGATCACTCCAGTTCCATAGTAGGCCTCTTCTGAAAAGTCTCTATGTTGGTCTCCATGGACTTCCCAGAGAAGTCCTTCACCTCTGCAGCCTGTGCACAGGTCCCTAGGGCCTCCTGGTGTTGCTAGTCCTGCTCCTTCTTGACCTCCTTAGATTAAGAATGGGGATCAGAGGACAACCAAGACTATGTTAGACAGTTAGCTATCTGCAGATTGGGGGAGCACAGTGTTGGGCTTCATGTGGCCCCAGGTCTGCTGAAATTCCACTTAAAAGGCTTCTTCCTTCACTGCAGAGGTTTTCAGGGGCTCATTCAGCTATTCTAAATGCTATGTGATTTCTCCCAGATGATAATCAAGGCCAAGAAGTCACTGGGTTACAGTAGCATGATTAACCTGCTGCAGTTGATCTGGAGATAGGGACCAACTGTCAGGACATTCCTCAAAAAGGCCTCTGCACCCTCTGCAGAAGCCCCAGGGGCTTCTGGCGCTGGTCCTACTGGTTGCAGAGGTGGGAATCTGGGACCCAGCAAGCCTAATCTCTGTGGA